AAACTGAGTTCATGCTCAAATGTGATCGAATCCTATCCCAATCGCTTCTCTTCGAAACAAAACCGTCCAAATTATCCAAATCTTCATCAACCAATCCAGTATCCGCTGCAGNCCTCATAAGATACACCTGAACCAATCGTTTATCACCTCTAATCCATCGTCATTCCCCCAACAAAAAGACTGAATCTAATGAAAATTCGTCACTTACTCGGTCGGTGACATTGGCGAATTAGCTCTATTAAAAAGTGTGTTACTGCTCAAATGTGCTCTAATCCTATCCCAATCGCTTCCCTTCGCAACAAAACCGTCCAAATGTTCTAGATCTATCCATATCAATCCAGTATCCGCTGCAGTCACAAACAACTTCCCAGAACCATCCAACTTCCAATATTTAGTTATGCTGTTTAGAGCATTTATCTGCAAATCAACAAAATTATCGTGTACATTATACCGACGATCTCAACTTGCCGATACACTGATAGCACTATCATTTGAATGATTTACCGAATTAAACCTTTTGACCACTGATCGATCATATGGTAAAATTCGATACAAACGCTTAATAAAGACTCAAATTCAGTTTATTTAAACAAATGATAAGATTAGCTGATCTCGTTTCAGTCACACATTCAAAACAGAACAAAGAATGGTGCATAATATCGACGTTTATGCCTTATATCAAATATGAACATGATGTCTTTACACTGATCATAAATCCATTTTTCAGATTCTCAAAACTGACTCGTCAATAAATCAGAAGGGTCAGACTCAGCCTGAAGTCGTCGAAAATACCATTTAATAAATGATCTGCATAAGTTTACATAATACACACATTCTGCAATTTATATGAGAATAATCAAAATGCCAACCTCTTGCTGGAAATAATGTGTAGTCTTGTTCGATGCGTCAATAAGAAATACGAAATAGAAGGGTGGTACCCAAGGTGTTGTAGTCGGCAGAGTAGCTGCAACAGAGATATTCAAACAAAACTATCAATTCTGTAAAAATATCACATATCGTCTTCTATTTCAAATATTAACAAAATCAAAATATTGCTACAGTTCAACGGTTGCATTGCACAGTTTGAGCTCAAATTTAAAAAAAAACTGATTATTTCACAGACTTTGCCACGAAATCTTATCTCATCACATACTAACGGATCAAGATTCTCACAGAATTCAATTTCAACAAATTGATCCTATAAACATTCCAAAGAGTTTCACTTACAACT